GCATTACTGAGCACCTACTGTGTACCGGCCCTGCATTACTGACCACCCGCCGTGTACCGGCCCAGCATTACTGAGCACCTACTGTGTACCGGCCCAGCATTACTGAGCACCCACTGTGTACCGGCCCTGCATTACTGAGCACCTACTGTGTACCGGCCCTGCATTACTGAGCACCTATTGCACGCCAGTCCTGTATTACTGAGCACCTACTGCACACCAGCCTAGCATTACTGAGCACCTACTGCACACCAGCCTCACATTACTGAGTACCTACTGCACACCAGCCCCAGATTTACTGAGCACTTATTGCATGCTGGCCCTGCATTTACTGGGCACCCACTACATACCGCCCCAGCATTACTGAGTACCTACTGTGCACTAGCCCTGCATTACTGAGCACCTACTGCATACCAGTCCCACATTTACTGAACACCTATTGCATGCTGGCCCAGCATTTACTGAGCACCCACTGCACATTGCCTCAGCATTACTGAGCACCTACTGTGCACTAGCCCTACGTTACTGAGCACCTACTGCATACTGGCCCCACATTTACTGAGCACCTGTTGCATGCTGGTCCAGCATTTACTAAGCACCCACTGCACACCACCCTGGCATTACTGAGTACCTACTGTGTACCGGCCTTGCATTCACTGAGCACCTGCTGTACACCAGCCCTGTATTACCGAGCACCCACTGCACACCAACCCCATGTTTACTGAGCACCTATTGCATGCTGGCCCAGCAGCACTGAGCATCTATTGTGCACCAGCCCTGCATTACTGAGCACCTACTGCATGCTGGCTCACATGCATCTACCACAGGTGGCCCACAGAAAGGTGAAACCATGTGCCCAGGTCATGCCAGAGGGCTGGAGCCTCGATGTAAACCTGCTCTTCTCAGCATGAAGCTGAGCTCCCAGAAGGAACAAGCATAAGTCCTGAGGTTGGCCACTTCCTCTCTGGGACCCTTGGCCAGACCATGGGGCTGCCCTGAGCCTCAGTTTCCCTCTATGTCCCAGAGGAAGTAGCAGGCCACTAGCATGAGGCCTGCCCAGGAACTGATGGGGGAGTGAGGCCCAGGGGTTCGCAGCCCACCCAGGGTCCTGCAATGGCCCCTACGCTGGCCACGGTGTTCCCTGGCCATTCCCTGGTGCCCTCCATGGGAGCGTCCGAGTCACACTAGCGGCACACGAGTGGCCAGGAGTAAGGCCTCAGGTTCCTCCCTGAGGAAAGGAATTGAACCCACCCCAGAGCCGGCAGCAGGGCCGACAGCCTTCTTCTGTAAGGGGTCAGATAGTGAACATTTCATCTTCGCGTGGCAGCCTCCATCCTGACAATCAGCTCTATGGTTCCGGTCTGAAGCTGCCACAGGCCACATGTCAGTGGACTGACGTGGTTACGTTTCTATAAAGGTTTATTATGTATTTATTTATTTTTTGTTTTTTTTGAGATGGAGTTTCGCTCTTTTTGCCCAGGCTGGAGTGCAATGGTGTGATCTCGGCTCACCACAACCTCCGCCTCCCGAGTTCAAGTGATTCTCCTGCCTCAGCCTCCCGAGTAGCTGGGATTACAGGCGTATATCACCACGCCTGGCTAATTTTGTATTTTTAGTAGAGACAGGGTTTCTCCATGTTGGTCAGGCTGGTCTTGAACTCCTGACCTCAGGTGATCCACCTGCCTCAGCCTCCCAAAGTGCTGGGATTAAGGCGTGAGCCACCACGCCAGGCCCGATAAAGGTTTATTTAGAAAAGCAGGCAGCGGGTCAGATTTGACCCTCAGACTGACTGTGGGGCCTTGCCTGTGAGATTATGGGGAGAGAGAGATCTACCCGTTGGCTCTGTGCAGCAGCTCTCACCTGTAATCCCAGCAGTTTGGGAGGCTGAGGCAGCAGGATCGCTTAAGCCCAGGAGGTGGAGGCTGCCATGAACCCTGATTGCAGCACTGCACTCCAGCCTGGACAACACAGTGAGACCCTGTCTCAAAAAAAAAAAAATGGAAAAATGAAATGTCAGCTGTGTTAAATGTTCAGCACAGGCCGGGCGCCGTGGCTCACGCCTGGAATCCCAGCACCCTGGGAGGCCGAGGCGGGCGGATCACAAGGTCAAGAGATCTGGACCATCCCGGCCAACATGGTGAAACCCCGTCTCTACTAAAAATACAAAAATTAGCCAGGCGCGGTGGCGGGCGCCTGTAATCCCAGCTACTCGGGAGGCTGAGGTTGCAGTGAGCCGAGATCGCGCCACTCACTCCAGCCTGGGTGACAGAGCGAGACTCCGCCTCAAACAAAAAAAAGAAAAGAAGAAAAGAAATGCCAGCTGTGTTAAGCGTTGAGCACAGTATTTGGTCAGGTGTAAGCAGGCGCTGCTGCAGGGAGGGAGACAGAGGGTCCCGGTGTTGCTGGACGAAGACTGGAGAGACCGAAGAAGGTTCAGGAGAGTTTACCAAGCTGATCACCGGCTCAGCCGGACAGACGGCCAGAAAGTCCGAGCCCCGAACAAAGGGCTTTTCCTACTTTTAAAACAGCTTAAAGCAGGAACTACGTGAGGCGGGAAGCAAGTTACAGAAGCGAGAAACAAAGGCAGGTGATCAAGTACTACAGCATTTCTCTTTTCTTTTTTTTTTTTTGAGATGGAGTCTCGCTCTGTCACCAGGCTACAGTGCAGGGGCACGCTCCTGGCTCACTGCAGCCTCTGCCTCCCGGGTTCAAGCGACTCTCCTGCCTCAGACTCCCAAGTAGCTGGGACTACAGACACGCACCACCACGCCCAGCTAATTTTTATATTTTTAGTAGAGACAGGGTTTCACCATGTTAGCCAGGATGGTCTCGATCTCTTGACCTCGTGATCCGCCCACCTCGGCCTCCCGAAGTGCTGGGATTCCAGGCGTGAGCCACCACGCCCTGCTAACATTTCTTACATCTTGAGAAAAACATGTCTTACAACCTAAACTTATCGGTCTTGTGACCCTGCAGCCGTGCTAGGGAGGTAAGCAGGAACTCGCTGGGCCTGTAATAAACTGAGGAATGTGGAGTTGGAGAGTATAGATAAGGTCCACTGACTACAGAGAGAAAACTGGCTGTTAACATTCTCTTTTAACTTGAGTGTAAGGGGTGGTCACACTTTGCAGCAACTTTAAGAGGATTTTAAAATTTCTATTACTACTACTATTAGGTTAGAGTTGACTTCATTAATTCCCTCTTCACAGGGGCCAGATGCCCCAGACAGACGCCTGTTGGTTGATTCAACAGACATTTACTGAGCGCCTACTGTGTGCAGGGCAGTGTTCCAGGCAGCAGGGCTGTAACCAAGACGAACTTCCGGCCCTGGGGGGCAGGTGCTCACGCTCTGGTGGGAGACGTGAAGCTCACAGGGATGTGGGACAGGGAGTGACACAGGATGACCACGAGGAAGAAAACAGGAGGAGAGGAGTTAGGGGTCAGGGGAGGTGACGTTTGACGGGAGACCTGGAGGAGACCAGGGAGGAGGTGAGGGAGATGTGGGGGAAGGCAGTCACTGCCCTTGCAGAGGTCCTGAGGCCGGTCGGTAGTTGGAGCTGGGAAACCAGGGCTGGATGGGAGCTGCGGGGAGGAGAGGCCTGAGCTGGGTGGAGGCTGGGAGGAGGCTGGGAGGAGGGAGGCCAGGCTGGGTAGGGGCTGGGAGGAGGGAGCCCCGGGCTGGGGGGTGCTGGGAGGAGGGAGGCCAGGCTGGGTGGGGGTTGGGAGGAGGGAGGCCCGGGCTAGGGATGCTGGGGGGAGGAGAGGCCCAAGCTGGGAAGGGCCTGGGAGGAGGGAGGCTCGGGCTCAAGAGGGGAGCTGCAGGGACAGAGGGTAAGGAGGAGGGAAGTCCGGGGCTGGCTGGGGGTTCGGGGAGGCTGGGCATGGGCCTGGCTGGGAGGGGAGGCTGGGTCTGGATGGGCGCGAGGGCTCTGCCAGACCCCCAACGTCCACGTCCCCATCCCCGCAGGGCCGCCTTCAACAACAACGTGAGCGTGGCCTACGAGTGCCTGAGCGCCGGCGGGCGCAGGAAGAGGCCAGGGCTGGACGGACGCACCTACAGCGAGCTGCTCAGGCGCATCTGCCGGGACGGCCAGGCCCCCGAGGAGGTGGTGGCGCCGCTGCTGCGCAAGGTGCAGTGCCGGGACCACGAGGCGGTGCCGCTGAGCGTCTTCCGCGCGGGCACGCTCACCTGCTTCGTGCTGCTGGAGTTCGTGGCGCGCGCCGGCGCGCTCTTCCAGCTGCTGGAGGACCCGGTCGCCGCCGTGGCCGACCGCCGCGTGGGCCAGGCCGTGCTGGACACCCTGGAGGGCGCGCTGCAGGCCAGTGACGCCGCCGCGCCCGCGCGCTTCCTGGAGGCCGGCTCGCGCCTAGGACCCGACAGCCTGGCGCTGGCGCTGGACCGCGCCGTCGGGGGCCGGCGGCCCAGCGCGCCCATGACCCGCGAGGAGTTCCTGGAGAGGGCGGCCGCGCTCTTCATCGCCAAGGTCAAGCCGGTGGGCTGAGCCCCGTGCGCCGCGCGGATCCGGGATCTGCACTGGGGGGTCCCCGCGTGCGGGGCGCGCGGAGCCTTCCCCTCGCCCCGGTGAGGGCCTGCAACGAGGCGTCCAGCCCTGCGGAGGAGGCCGGGACTCCCAGGAAGCGGACGCCCCCTCCCCAAACACCGCCCGGGATTCGTGCACTGTTTGGGGTCCCCGCGATGCGGGCGCGCGGTCGAGCCTTGCCTCGGCCCGGTGAGGCGCCTTGCAACGGAGGCGTCCAGCCTGCGCGAGGCGAGGCGGGACTCCCAGGAAGCGGACGCCCCTCCCAAAACACCCGCCACGGCGCCCCTCCAGCCGCTGCGAGCCCTGCCGGCCGTGCTAATAAATTCCGGTTGCGACGGCTGAACGCCTGATGGTGTGCGCGCCCACCTCCCAGCCCCCGCCGCGCACCTCGCCGCCGCCTCGCTGCCGCGCCCCGGCCCCGCGCTCGTCGGCCCGCGGCCCGCCCTCCCAGCCCCGCGTGCCATCTCCCGGCACCCGGTGCCCACCTTCGGCCCCCAGTGCCCGCAGGAAGACGCTTTTTCCCCAGCCGCGGTCCTGCCCGACGGGCGTCCGAACGCGCGACGGCTGGAGGCTGATTCGAGGCCGGAAACGCGCGGGCCCCTGCGACCCGGGCCTGGTGGGGAGCAGCGGAGGACGCCCTACGGGCCCTGTGCGAGCCTTGGGAGCGGCCGGGGAGGAGGCGCAGGCGCTTCTTTCTGGATGCCGCAGGGCCCAGGCCGCTCCAGCCTGGCTGCCAGGTATCCTCCCCTGGGCCTCCGTCTCCCCAGATGTCAGAACGAAGACGGGCCCAGCTGGGCAGATGGGTGCGAACACTGGTGAGATAACAGCCCGCAACACTTCCCAAGCAACTGACGATGCCTTCATGCTGATGATTCCAGGCGCCCACCCTCAGCAAGGGCTCAGCTGGGATCTGCCGCCCAGGCCTGCAGAACGCACAGGACCTCCACTCGCACCGTACCCCCCAGTGCCCCACCCCGACGCAACAACCAGAATCACTTCGTCAGACTTGAAAACGCGATCCAGCTCAGGCGCGGGTTGGCTCACGACTGTAACCCCAGCACTTTGGGAGCTAAGCGCGGGCGGTCTCTGAGGGTCAGGAGTTTGGAGACCAGCCTGGCGCAAACACAGTGGAAACCCGTGTCTCGTACTAAAAAAAAAAAAAAAAAGGCTGGCTGCGGGTGGCGGGTGCCTGTAGATCTCCAGCTGCTCAGGGAGGTGAGGCAGGAGAAGTAACTTGAACCCAGGAGGCAGCAAGTTGCAGTGAGCCAAGATTGAGCCACTACAATCCAACGTTGGGCGACAGAACGAGACCTGTCTTAAAAGAAAAAGCAAGAACTCAAACGAAAAAGCGATCCCGAGCGCAGCGCGCCCGCGCTGTGAGCCCAGCATCTTTGGGAGGCCTGTGTGGAGGATCATTGAGGTCAGAGATTGAGTGACCATCTTGAGCTACATGGAGTGAAACCCCGTCTCTACTAATAAACAAATGGCAAAAAAGTTTACCAGGCGACGGTGGCGGGGCGCCTATTAGTCCCATGCTGTGCTCCTGGAGGGCTGAGCAGGCGAGAATGATGTGAACCCAGGAGGCGGGAGCTGTGCAATGAGCGGAGATCGTGCCACTGCACTCCAGCCTGGGCGACAGGAGCGAGAACTGCTGTCTCCAAAAAAAAAGCTGGAATCTGAATGCGAATGGTGCTGGCAGCGGTGACGTCAATCG